TTTTAAGCATTTTTTGTCTTTAATGGACAGGACAGGTAAGCGTGAAAGGGGGAGAGAGAGAAGGGGGGATGACATGCAGCAAAGGACCACAGGCTGGATTCGAACCCGGGCCGCTGGGGCAACAGCCTTGTACATGGGGTGCCTGCTCCACCATTAAGCCACCGACGCCCCTAACAGACAATATTTTATTAGTAAAATAACACACATTGGTAATTGGCTCTTGTTATTATAAATGCAGCATTTCAGTCAGATAGACCTCATCAGTTATTAATTTGGTTACTTGTCCGTTCTTTACTTCAGAAACAGAAACAGTCTGACATCACTTTAAAGTGTTTCATGTGTGTAATTAACACCCCGCCTCTCTCACATGAAGAAGCTTGTGGCTAGATAGGAAAACCCATAATTGACTGAACTAGTTGATAACCAGCTTTGTAGCACCAGTTATCCAGACGGCCAATGTTAGGGTTGGTCAAGCCAGATAACAAAAAGATATGTTATGTTCATATCATATCATATATGTTGAAATGGCTTCATGGGACAGGCCTCTGGTGTGCTCCTGCTAGGTTGAAATGAAAACTTGCAGCCACACAGCCCTTTATGGAATAGTTTGGGCATGCCTGATCAATTAATGTTAGGCTATGAAATATTTGAAAAATAGGCCCCAAGGTGATGCTTTCAAGTGGCTTGCTTTGCCTAACCAACACTCCATGACTCACATTATAGACGCAATTTCTAGTGATATGGAACAGAGGCGAATCCTTACTGCCAGCAGATGTTGCTGCTGCTTTTCTGTTCATTTAGACAACTTTCATCTTTATCAGTCTGATGAGCATTTGTGCAGCAGGTGGCGCCATTAACTCTTCCTCTGAGCCATCCTTCTAGGAAACATCCCATCCATTCCAGTTTACTAAAGGTCAGTAACAGGGGGTGTACAGTATGACTGGACCAAGTTTTGTTCCTGAGAGGTTACCACGGTTTATATGAGATCATAGATTGCGACAAGGCGGCCTTGGCTTAGAGATAGGGTGTTCTTTTATGTCTTGGGTGAAGTAATGGGATGATGACAGTCATGTAAAAAACATTTAGGCTGAGTGGGGAGACTGGGAAATGAACTTTCTTACCCCCATGCTGAACATATAACAATGAGCAGTCTCATATTTTACTCCTTTCTGCACATGTTCTGGCTAACTTAACCAAAATTTGGAAGAAAAATGCATATGCAATACATTTCTGTAGTTTATTGGGCAAAAATGTAGTTGAGAAAATGAGGTAAAAAAGTATTTATCAGAGTTCAGGAGGCTACTTTTGAAATGTGGTAGGAAACGTTGACCCAATGACCCAATAAACAGAGCTTCAATGTGTGTGCGGGAGCAAGTGTGATTTTTGCAGATGACTAGTTACCCTGTTAAAAATGTAATAAGTTATATAACTATATCATCTCATCAAAAATGTGTAACTGATTTCATTTAATTTCTTTTTGATTACTTTCCTCACCCATGTTTAAACTGGGCAATAAAGCTTAAGTCCAAAAAACATAAATGCATAAATGTTGCACTCAAGTGTGTCCCAACAGCTGTGCTGACCCATGCAGTCTGGAGTTATGCCAAAATAGGGCACTCCTGCACTGTGAACACGTGCAGAGCAACAGAATGAATGTTATATTCAACATATAAAACATATCTTTGTAATAAATTCCACTGGATTAATGCACCGACTCCACCAGAAGTTGGGATATAGTGGCCCAAGTTCATGACCCCATCAGACCAGACTTGTTTCAAATCTGTCAGCTGAAGCCTGAAAAACAAAAACTCCCGTTGCACTGCACAGTGTCTGTATTAGTTTAGAGAGGAGTGAAATGTCATAGTGGCTAAAAGGCACAGTCATGTTCATGCAAATGTCTTGATGGCCACATGTCAGCCTGAAACTGTCATCCCTGCTACATGACATCATGGTGGCAGATGAGCTGATATGTCTTCACCTCTGGCACCGTTTCATCAGATTGGTTATCAACATAAAGCAAACAGCCAATGGGATATCCCCAGCCTGTGGCATACCTCACCGACCACTTGCTTTAAAAGGTCCTCAGATCATGCATTAAGACCTCAGTAACCGGGGATCTACACACCAGTGCACGTCTTTGCTTTTTTCCCCCATCAAACCTACATCTCACGTGCACCCGGATCCCCTGCAGCTTTGGTATATCCCTCTGTGGTGAGGAAGCGACTGCTGAGCACACGGTGAGTTGACTCAACCCGGGTAAGCAAACGATTTTGAATGATCTTTTAGAGGAGAAGTCAGTGTATCATACATGCAAATATGAGATGGTATTTGACTAGTGGTGTCGCTGCTGTTCAGCCCGGCAGATGTCCACCTGGATAATATTTTACTGACATATGCTGCTGCCTACACAGCATGTCACTGTGCCACCGGTGGCAGCCATTGAACCTGTTTTACATCTAGAACTTTGATGCATGTGCTCATCACACTTTAAAATGACATATCATAGTTTATGAGGCGTTAATGGTCAAACTTTGGCCACATGGGGATTTTTGCGTTCAATAAAGTGGCGGTTCCCTACAGGGAGTGGTTATGAGTTTCACAAGATCAGATTAAATCTCACTATACAGCACCCCATGGTGCAGCGACGCCCAGAATAAATACATAAAATAATGAAAGAAAATTTGACAATGCTTGTTTTTCTTTAGGTGCCACTATGCTTGAATAGTTCCTGTTTTATTGTGGATTTTTTGCATCATATGTTGCATTTAAAATGTGTTTTGATTGGCTGCTGATTTTCAAACTCAATGGGACTTCCTGGTTGAATAAATAACAAATAAATAAATAAAAAGGATGTAAGAATACAGTTACATGCTTTAATTGACATTTAGACTGTAAGAAAAATGTGGTTATCCTCTAAGTTAGTGTGTTGTGGTATAGTGTGGTGTACAAGTTTTACAGTTGTGTACCTGTGGGTGCACATGTGGCATCTTCCGGTGCCACAGACATGTGCCATATGCGGGTTAAAAGGATGGACACTGTCAAAGTGACATGTCACTAACAGTTGGCATATGATACTTATTAAAAAAGCACACATTTGGTGGGAAGTGGGGTCTCGTGAAGCGCAGGTTTATGTCGCACGCGACAACATTTCATAATCATGTCAATATGAGGCGGTGTATGGGCTGCATGGCGGTGGGAAGTGGTATGACTTGTAACAGGGGAGCGTTAGATAACGTTATACTGTTTGCTAGAGTAATGGACCAGTAGGGCTGCAGCTGCATACCATAACCCAGCAGTGACATACCAGTCAGATTATGCCACTGGAACCAGAGCGGCACGCGCTCAGCCGCACACTGCTGCATGTACACAGCCAGCCGCCGTACCTTCCTCCCTGTTCCTGCATCCCGCCGTGCGCATTTCACTGAGCAACATCTCTCTCGCCTTTTTCTCCTTCCTGCTGCGCACTGCTGCTAATACAGAACCCCCCTTCAGCCAAAATGACCGAAACGGAAACCAGGAATCATCACGCCGACAAGCAACAGATCAACGGAGGTGCCATGGCAGACCCGTCGACGGTGGAGGATGTTTTTGACGACACCTATAAAGAAAAAGAGGGTCCCAAACCGCCGAGGATGCTGGTGTGGAGGAATATCATACTGATGTCCCTCCTACATTTCGGTGCGCTTTATGGACTCCTTCTCGTTCCCTCTGCATCGGTCTCAACTCTTGCATGGTGTAAGTATCTACTGTATTGTAGCAGGCTTAGCTGTGCAGCATTATGTGGTGTTTTTTCCCTGCCTGTAGGCCACAGTCAGAGAACAGAATGTGCTGATGTTGAGTGATCATTGCTAACTACAATACATACAGCCTGAGGGGTCATGCCTGTGGGAATAATGGAGAATGAGTCACTCTGGGCCTTGTCATTTTCATCACACACATCCATGCTTGTGAGCCTCCATATGTATTTTTGTGCCTCCTTGCAGAGCTCAACCCTGTGTGTGATTGTAAACTATTTATTGGAAGTATTTTAATCCCAGCGATAATAGACAAACATATGGCTGGATGATTACATTTATACCCTATATATGTAGACTATTGAGGCATGACTTGAATTCCTAAACAGTCCCAACTTTGTTTCCACTCTGGCACTGCATAATTTTCCCCTCTCTTTGCAATGCTGAGCTGCATATTATTTCACCGGGGAAGACAAAGCACAATCACCATCCCCATAGACATCCCATTGTGAGCCGTGTGGCACCACAACAGAATGCTCTTTGCCAGTCAGAAGCCCCCGGGTCTCAAATCCTGGGTAGTCTTGTCTGGGCTTCACATAGAAACACATTCAGCAGTTTTAGAACAACAAAAGTGTGAGGGCAGACCTGCGTGCTCCCGCTGTCCCATCTCCCCACATAGATGACTTTTTCTGTGAACAAAGAGGCCAGGGTGTAATGGAAAGAACATGGTGTCCCAGTGACTCTGCTCTCATGGGGTGTAAAATTAATCTCAGTGTAGTGGTGACAGTTTCCCCCTAAGATCTCTGTCCTTTCCACCTCACTTTTTTTCTTGCAGCTGCAGTGTGCTACCTCATCAGTGCTCTCGGCGTGACTGCTGGTGCACACAGATTATGGAGCCACAGATCCTACAAGGCCTCCTTTCCTCTGCGAGTCTTCCTCGCTCTCGCCAACTCCATGGCCTTTCAGGTAAAGCAGGAAAAAATGTAAATATAAGATAAGCCTTAATTGGTGCCCAGAGGGGGAACTGGGCTGTTGCAGCAGCCCATTATATCTTTGGCAATTGCTACTTCATATGCAACTCAAAAATGTGTGGGTTTTTTTTTGTCCCTGACTGTCATGTTTGAGCAAAATCATGTGTGTGAGTTTGACACTAAAAGGCTGTTTTCACATTCATCTGCCAAGGGTGGAAAGTTTCCATTTGATCCCCTTAAATCCGACTCAAACACATGGATGTATGAACAGGATTCTGTGACATCACAACTAGTTTGGAAGCCAATCGTGATTCAGAATGCAACATACGCACAAGTATGATGTGCAATATTGAAGCTCTTTAATGAGAAGGATGGTGTGGATATAATAAGAACAATCTTCAATCAGGCAATTGGATAAAAACAAATCTGCGACCATGATCAAGCATGCACCCCCCCCCCCCCATCACCAATATGCAAAAACATAATACACACACACACACTTGCACTTGACCTTTAATGCCAAATTTCATCCTCCTAGGGCAAAAATTGTTGCCGCTAAAGGGTGGGAAAATTTTGTGAACCAATCAACTGATATAGCCAGGTATAGAGCTGCTAGTTGCAGCTAATAAAAACATATAGTATACACAATGTCATAAAACAAGCCTGGAGGTGATCTTAAAGCTATCTTAATGCTTAAAGTTCCCCTTCCTGACATGCTGTAAAGTTTGTCAAAAGGCTCTGCTATGATTATTATTTTGTTTAACGTGGTTTTCCCACATAAAAAGTTTAAAAAAACAACAACCTTTCATTGATAAATTCTGGATCAGGCTCGTGCCCCGCCCACCACCGCTGCACGAAGTAGGTTGTGCGGTGAAAGAGCAGCATGCATGAAGATGGTTAACATTAGAGGTCACACCCGGAATTGGATGAGGAGTCTATTGTGCACCAAAATCGTCGACTAGCAGCTGATCAGAATGGAAAGTGTAGTTAGCATCATTTATTTGTTAATGCTGTTTGTTAGCTTGTTAGCTCGCACTGGCTAGTGGTTGTGAAAGGTACAATAGTATCTGCTGCAATGTCACAGTATGCTCACATTGATCCAGTTTACTTCATAAACTACATATTGTATCATGTCTGCTGTCATAACTTTCACCATGTTAATGCAAACTCTGCTCTTTGCACTGACAAGTATGCTCTGCACTGGAGGTTTCAGGTTTCTTAGATAACGATTAGCTTTCGAATTTGTCGTCTATCTAATCTAGTTTGTCCAGGATATGTTCAAATCTCAGATTTAAAGGAAGAGCACAGACTGTCACCAGAGAAGTGTTTTCACATTCCTCAAACTGCACAGATACAAGTCAGTTGAGCCAAAGTCAGACATTTTAGGGGACATGAATAGGGGAAAAACACATTTTCAAGCTGAGGAGATCTTTAATATCCATCACATTTACTTGTTACAGTAATAACTTGTAAAAAAAGTGTCAATTGTATGGTTTTCAAATAATTGTGTAGGATATGAGACAGTAAGTATGCATTCAATGTCATCTCCGACCTTAATCTGATGAACTGTAACCCCTGCTCATATCTAAGCATGCCTTACATAATCCTCTCCATCTCTGCATGTCTCTTTTGTGAGCAGAATGACATATATGAGTGGGCAAGGGACCACCGTGTCCACCACAAGTACTCTGAGACGGATGCAGACCCCCATAACGCCACGCGTGGATTCTTCTTCGCCCACATCGGCTGGCTGATGGTTCGCAAACACCCCGATGTCATCGAGAAGGGCAAAAAACTGGAGCTCACAGACCTGAAGGCAGATAAAGTCGTTATGTTTCAGAGACGGTGAGCGAACATTACCTACAGTTTGTTTTGGGGAACAGTGCTGTTCTTTTTAAATTGGTGTAATCAAAACTTCTGTTTTTCAGCAATCCTTACTAATGTGCAGCTATTTTTCACTGTGTATTTGGGGGTAACGATTGAACACTCTTGAGCTCATCTGCACAATAAATACTCCCCATATTATATCTTTCTTCAATGTATCAGACAAAATGCTGATGTCTGCAAAACGGCCAGCACTTTTCAGGTGGATGCCCCTTTAAATATCTTACTGTTTCAACTAATCTATAGTCAGAGTTAAGGAACTGAAACCACTTTTGGGGGAAAAGATCATAGTCATTGTTTTAAGATAAAAATGTCAAAATGTACTAGTCTGAGACAGACCATGTATCAGCAGCATCAGGTGTTGAAGGCACAATGCCAACACCCATTCATCATCTTGTCCTCGACTGTCACGCTACTTCCTGCATTAGCTCTGAACGATGCCACCGAAATCATCGCTAATGTGTCTTGTTATTAAAAGTCATTTCCCTTCCGGCCCGAGCTGCACAGGATGTTGTAGTCTGGGTTATATTGACCATGCTAACACTTGATAACCACGATCTGCTGATAAGGGATGACCAGAGATCAAATCACAACTTGCCCCCCGTAGTCGCTGCCAACATGTATACTCTGCTGGACACAGTCCCAGATTTTCACTCCTGCTGTCGGGCAAAGGAGGTTAATCATGCCACTATGCTGACAATTGCCCTCATAACAGAGTAGATTAGATTAGATTTAATCTGTGGCGTTTATAGGACCCTTAACCCCAACGTGAGTGCAGATTTTAATGTTTTTGCAGTCGGATTGTTTAAATCAAGCCCATGATGCAATATTTATCTTAACACACATTTAGAATGTAGTGTGGGATTACATAATGGATTACATAACTTTTGCTATGAGACAAAAAAAGTCGGTTTAATCAAAAAACAAAAAATAAAACATTTACAATCTGTTTTATTTCATCTCAATTTAGGTTGGATTACAGCCAGATGAAAATGGATCTGTGTGTGATACAAGCTGTTCTCTTGTTTCAGGCATTACAAGCTCTCTGTGGTGATCCTCTGCTTCCTGGTGCCAATGTTGGTGCCCTGGTACTTCTGGGGTGAATCTCTGGCTGTGGGATACTTCATCCCCGGACTCCTGAGGTACGCTGTGGTGCTCAACGCCACCTGGCTGGTCAACAGCGCTGCGCACATATGGGGCAACAGGCCTTATGACGTGACCATTAACCCGAGGGAAAACCCACTGGTTGCTTTTAGTGCCATCGGTAAGGAAACAGCATGTTCATTATTACTCGTCCTACAGTAATGTGCTAACACTGTATCATGGCTACATGAGCACTTCTGTGTAATTTAGTGTCTTCATGTGCCGGAGGGACATTTGAATGATCTTTTCATCACTTGTTGAAAGCTTGTCTTGTTGAGTCAACCACAGTGGGGTTGTCCCTCAAAGCTGATTCAGTCTGGCATCTGTAGTGGGACAGTGTGCTAATCCAGCGGCTGATGTTTATCTTGTCCCGGCCGTGCCAGTTTTAGCTTTGAACTTTAGAGGTGGTCAGCTTTCGAGTTGTGTATTTAGTCATTTTTTTTAGAGCTGGACACTGGTGGGTTTTTTTTTCAGTATCGCTGTTTCCCATGAGTCAAGACTTTATTGTGGTGGCTGACACCACGGGGGTGTGATGCTGCAAACAGCACCAAGCATTGTTAGCCGCAAAACAGCATCGGATTCACAAGCTTACTAATGATTGCACAAGAATGCACAATTCTGGCAGAGTTTTATTTGTTTATTTGTCTTTCCATGCAGTTTTAACAGAAGTAACATCGTCTGCTCCAATTTATCTACCAAGTTTAAAAGCAAGGTTGTTGTTTTGCACCTAACTAAATGCTTTCTAGCAACTGGGGGAGAAAATGGAAAAATGTCTTGGAAACAATTACGCTCCTAAGTCTATTTTCACCTTTTTTTTCAAGTCACACCTATTGTGTCATTTAATTAGTTTTTCCATGTAACTTGCCTGTTCCTAAGCACCCAGAGCAGCAGTAGTAAACACATGAGTAAATGAAGGAGTAAATACTGCATGCACTGGAAGCGTTTTTACACTAAAGTTAACATTTTAAATTTTGTAATGATTACCTCAACGTACATCAATTCAAAAATAGGTCTCTGGATTGTTGAATGACAGATATCTCAGTTCAGTTCAGCCTGAAACTTTTCCAGCAACACCACCTGTGTGGGCTACATGATTTTAGGTTTTGTTGATTTGATGTTTTCTACTCCAGTGCCCAAAGGGATCTGTAGGTGTTGTTCCTCCTCAGGCTGCGGGCAAGCCTGTGCTGTAACCATGACAACCAAGCAGTGTAATAATGATTACAAAGACTCATTTAGGATATCAGATTTTGGTAGCATGCAAATTACATTACATGACAGTTAGCCTTTAAAGGGACGGTTCAACCAAAAATAAATAATAGGCTACATATTTTTCCTCTCACCTGTTGTGCTATTTATTTATCTAGATTGTTTTGGTGTGAGTTGCTTAGTGTTGGAGATATCCGCTGTAGAGATGTCTGCCTTCTCTCCAATATAATTGAACTAGATGACACTGGTGGTACTCAAAGTGCCCAAAAAAACACATTTGAAAAACTCAACAGCAATGTCTCTTTCCAGAAATCATGACCTGGTTACTCAAGATAATCCACAGACCTTGTTGTGAGCAGTTTCATGTAGGAACTATTTTCTTTCAGACAAACTACACCCGCCAACAGTATCACTGCACAGAGGGAAGCGCGCATCTACTCACAGCTCATGCTTGTGACAGTGCAAGATGTAAACATTAGTCACTTTTACACTGCCTGTTCAAGATAGGAATATCAAGTCGTTAGGGTGCCTCTGTATATAATGTACCATTGCAGAATGGGGGGACAGAGGTGTCTTGCCTTGAAGCCAGCAGTGGAGGTAGTAACAGTGCCAAAATGATGTCTGTGTAAATGGGATAGCCAGCAGGACAGGTGTGACGTTTTAACAATGTCTTATGCATGCGACCCACCATGGGAAATTTCAAAAGCGCTAGAAGCAGTTAGCGGCTAACTCAAAGAACAAGAAGAATAGCGGCCAAAAAAAGAGCTCCTTGTCCTCCGAGCAGAGGACGAGATCAACTGCCAAATAATAGAGATGGCAAATTATTATTATTGCAATGTTAATGCTGTCGTTATTGTTTAGAAAGCGCTGCCGATGCATATGCTGTATGTCACAGTAGAGGCTGATGCTGAGGTGTTACATGTCCCATCGCCATGATGCTGGCATGCTGTCTAAAATAACAAACTAGAGCGGCATGGTGACACCATTGTTTGGTTGTGTTTAAAAATGCAAAGGCTACGTAAAGAAGGGACTTTATGGCTGTCCTATTGCACAGTCTATTTAAAAATAGGCTATTAATGGTGTCCTCCTTGGCTGAGCTGTAGTGTTAGCTAGCTCAATGGTGCTAGGTGAGCTAGCAGTAGATGCACACTTCCCTCAGCACAGTGATACAGTTGGTGGGTGTAGTTTGGTAGAAAGAAAATGGTTCCTACATGAAAGCTACAGTTTTACAAATGTATTTTTTGGGCACTTTGAGCTCCACAAGCTGAGTGCCATCTAGTTTCATTACATTCCAGGGAAGACGGACATCTTTACAGCTGATATCTCCAACACTCTGCAACTCACACCAAAACAATCTAGACTAATGAACTGCACTACAGGTAAAAGGAAATGCATGTGTTTTTGATTTTGTGGTGAACTGTCCCTTCAAGACTTCCAAATCCCAAAAGTCCCCCATTCACTCTCTCCACTTAGCATCAAATCACATTATCAGTCACATGATGCCAGTTGCTGTTTGTGGATGTGCCAGAGTCCTGTGCTGTGTTTAAATGAGTGGAAACTTCCCGTATGACTGTTGGATGCATATCTTCATTCAAGTGATGAACTTGTTGACATTCAGCACAACAGTGAGTCTTTCTTTTTTCGATTTCAGGGGAAGGCTTCCACAACTACCACCACACATTCCCCTTCGACTACTCCACAAGTGAGTTTGGCTGCAAGCTCAACCTCACCACTGCCTTTATAGACCTCATGTGCTTCTTGGGTTTGGCCCAGGACCCCAAGAGCGTGTCGAAGGAAGTGATCATGGCTCGCATTCAGCGAACGGGTGACAGCAGCCACAAAAGCGGCTGAGTCACACCGGCTACAAACTCTGCAACTGATACTGACATGTCGAACCGAGACAGAACATAGCAACAGGTATAGCAGCATTTCAGTGGTGGTGGGAGGGGGCTTGATTACCATGCTTCTGATTATAAGATAAACCTCCTCCCCGAGACTAATATTGGCTTTAAAGAGTTGTAGATCTTTTCATAAATCGTGTGGGTCTCTTAAGTTTTGAAATGTTCTCACCAACTATTAGCCACAGCCAGCGACTTGGCTTCATGTGCAAGCACAGCTTTTTTCACCATAATATATAAAACAGGCACAAAGAGAATGAAGCTAATTTGGATTTGAGTCTGTTTTTGCAGCAGATGGACAACCAGACTTTGTGAGCGGTGTGTAAAAGCAGTAATTCTAGGATAATTTACTGTATATCTTATTTGTTAATGTGCTATTTATTAACAGTCTTTGGCACTTTGAAAGCTTTTTTGAAACCCTTAACAGTGAGGTTTCTCTACAGGCAATATCGAGGGCCTTTTTGCTCTAACTTCTGTCAGTACTGCTTTGTCTCTTTCCACAGGGAGTGGAGTTTCATCTTGATTATTGGTTGTCTAGTTTAAGCTAAGGTTTTTTTTTTTTTTGTTTGTTTTTTTTTTTTTGGTAAGATAGTAATCTTACTAAACTATGAGCTGCTGTTGTCAAGGCCAACACCGAGACAGTCAACACTATTGAACTGTCCCCATATTTTCATACCGAAGTAATCCTGAGTGAACGCCGATTAGATGTGTTATACTTTGGGATACTTTAACGCCTACTGTCTCCAACCGTACAAGAGGAGCTCTTAATGAGGATTAAGCTTTCTAGTGTATACCTCTGATTGAGTAGTGAAGCCGCCTCAGACTTCTTACTCTTAATCTAAAAAGAGTTAATTATTTGCAATTGTTTTATATTTATTTGAAACACACTCAGAGATAAGGTCTCCCGCTCCCTCAGATAAGGCCAATGAGGCATGTGTAGGAGGTGCATTTACCTTTTGTGCTGTGTGATATTATTGAAACGTGTGTCAGGACTCTTGCCCATATGCCTTATGAGGGTTGCACGCAGAAATGAAAGATTAAAAGTGCAAGTTATGGGAATAAATTAGGGCTTAAATTTACTGTCTAAATGCAGTTGTTTGGTGTCTGTTTTTGAAAAATCGAAATTCCTTATTTATAATGAAAAAGAGGGACCATTCAACAAATCCCTGGAAAAATAATGGGTTACTATAATTTAATTTTTGTGTAACCAAAACACTTTGCTCTAAAACAAGATCCAAAACTTGTTATATCATTAATGATAATGTTGTAATATGTGTCACACTTACTCTTTTACAGAGCAACGATTTTTTACAGTGTTAACTTCTTGAAGTTTGAATGCCTTAAAAAATGGCACATTTTTTTCAGAGAATGTTTTTGCCCACTGTATGTACCGTAAATAAAACCAGATTTTCTACTTGTGACAAAATATGTTTTGCTGTTTTTGTTGGGTTACTGTAATACTCCTTATTCGTATACTGAATAAAAATGTGATCATACCATTTCTGTTACATTCTTTATCAGTGGCTTCTGGATGCTACGACGATAACAACCACTAATGGTAATGATGATAAACTATAAATACAGTTAGTATAATATAAAGGACAAAATAAAAGTGTTTTGCAATGTGTGCCATAAAGAATAAAACATAGTCAAAAATAATAGAAATGTGGTGCTTAATTATTAAATGGAGAATGTAGGTTAAAACTGAAACCTACACACTGTGGTGTGAAATGTCCAATAAACACATGAGCTCATACGTACACTGAGCAAAAACGTTAAATTAAAGATCTAAGACTCAGAAGATATATTTCTCTAAAATTTCAGTCACAAATTTGTAAAAATATGTGTTAGTGAGCATTTCTTCTTCTTAAGATACTAATTCAACGGCATCATCTACCTTTTTCTTAGCAGACATTGCAGATGTCAGTAGGAAAAGAACAGGTGTATTCACTAACATCAATGATAGCTGCATTCCACTTAGGGGAGGTCCTGGTATTGTGTATGCAGTCTTACTGAAATAGCTTAATGGGGCACTTAATGGAACTGAGCCAACTGAACCAACTTCACCTGTGCTTCAGGTCAAAATGTCTGCTGTGAAAAACGAAAGTGTGTTGGGATGGTCACAATTAAAGCCACTCTAACTTGCAGTTTGATCGAACAACACAATGCCACAGATGTCCCAAGTTTTGAGGGAGTTTGCCTTTGGCATGTAGACTGCAGGAATGTCCACCAGAGCTGTTGCCCTTGTTGTTTCCCTGAATTTAGCGGTACATCCAACCAGCCTCACAACCGCACAAGTTGGTCGGGATGACAAACTGCTGTCAGTTCAAGACCCTGGTGACGATGATGAGCATGCAGATGAGCTTCTCTGAGACAGTGTCTGATGGTCTGTGCAGAAATGTATCGGCTGTGTAAGCCAACTGTTGCATCAGCTGTTTGGGTGGCTGATTGTGTGGAAAGATGCTGGATGTGGAGGTCCTGAGCTGGTGTGGCTACATGTGATCTGTGGCTGTGGGGCTGGTTGGATGTAGTGCCAAATCCAGGGAAATGTCATTGGTAGTGTTAGTGAAGTGGGCCAAAGTTCACGGGCAACCGCTCTGGTGAACATTCCTGCAGTCAGCATGCCAATGGCAAGCTGCCTTCAAACTCGAGACACCTGTAGTGTTTTGTCGTCATCAAAGTGCACATTTCAGAGTGGCCTTTAACTGTGACCAACTCAAGGCACACCTGTGCTGCTGTGATGCCGTTTAATCGGCATCTTGATATGCCACACCTGTCAGATGGATGGATGGATTATCCTGGAAAAGGAGACGTGCTCACGAACACAGATTTGAACACATTTGTGACCAAAATTTGAGCTACATTTGCTGAATGCGTAAAAAAAGTCTCAGATCTTTATCTTGAGCGTGTGAAAAATGGGAGCAAACACAAAAGTGTAGTGTTTTGTACAGTATAAATTCATCACATGAAAAATTTGAAAAAAATTCTCAGTCATCCAGGTCATGGTAATCTTAAAGGGACATTGTGTAACATTTTCAGTTGTTTATTGGCAAAAATTGATGTCTGCATTCATAAATATGTCATCATTGGTGTACTATTACCTCCACCAATAATCTGACTTATTCTCGTAAAAGGAGAATTTCGGATTTGCTTGTACGTTGTGCGGGTAAGTCGTCTGTGGGGTTCCATAATGTTTCGCCATCTTGAGAATACATCCGCTAGCAAGGGACATACAGCCCTGCCTTCGGCGTTTTCGTTGAGAGTCAGGCCAGCGCTGCATGACTGAGGAGCTGAAGGAGAGGAGCAAGAGGCGCTTTGCTACTACCCCGGCAAATTTGAAACAAAGTCCCACTCTTTGAGCATAATGCAGGATCATGCATATGCAGCATCATGGGAGATGGAATCCTCATCGCCAAGAAAGCACAAATGGGAATAGAAAAGGCAACGTGACCAGTGAATTAAAAAAATGAGGGTCCACATTGGGGTAGCCTTTCCCAGGTGGAGAGAGCTGCTGAAGGAGAATGGTAATGCAATCGCCGGTCACGTTGCCTTTTTGACTCCCTTTTGCGCCTTCTTGGTGACGAGGATTCCGTCTCCCGTGATGCTGCATAATACATGATCCTGCATTATGCTCAAAGAGTGGGACTTTGTTATGCTGCAGTAGTGCCGGGGTAGTAGCAGCGCTGGCCGCTAACAGCGGCTAACAGCTGTTAGCGGCGCAGTGTTGCGAGGAGAGGGATGAGGTGTGTGAGGTTGAGCCACTTGTCAGTTGTCAAAGGACAAGACGTGATTGGTTTGTTTCGATTTACACTCGCCCCAACAGTCCTACATTGTAAACACAGCCAGCATGGTGAGGAGGGGGTTTGTCAACTTGCATGCCGTGTGTCTGTGTAGGAGCCTGAATGAATACTCCGTGAAGTATCGATGACATGGTTTCATCAACGTTATCATACCTTTTTGGTACACAGCGACTACCGTTGTTGCAATACGCGTTTGAAACAGTGAGGCGCTAGAGTGCGCTATCCGTTTGAATGCAATATATGATTTCAACGTTAGACGGGAGAAATTCCTACACACTGTGGTTTTAAGTGTTATATCATAGGCAACTGGACTTGCTTGAGTTTCTTGGAGATGTTTCACCTCTCATCCAAGAGACTTCTTCAGTTCAGAACTGATGTCTGACATCTTCAAGAAACTCAAAGCAAGTTGCCAGTTGCCTATGATAAGATTAAGATTACCATGACCTGGATGACTGAGAATCTTCACCAACACATGAAAAACTGTCTACATTGGGTCTCATTTTACACACATTCCCAGTGCAGTATAGTGACAAATGGTATTTGACATTTTTTAGAAACTTTTGGCTCTTTACTGTTGTGTTCGTCTACACTTTTCTATACTGCTCCAGTGACTAGGTTAAGGGTGAAGAATCTCCAACTGTTTTTATCTTCATCTTGCCGCTCCTGTTTTTGAACACGTTGTACTTGTTAATTGACGGCATTATCTCCTGTCTGCATGCCCATACTGATGGGGATCTACCTCTGCTTTTCATGCTCGGCTCATACATCTGACATTGTCGCACCTGTGACATCATCACACATATTTAAAATAGCTGCAGATATTGTTTTAACATTCCTGGAGGACAGACGTCTGTGGAGATGCTCTTTGCTGTTTTGCAGCTGTCCCCTCCCGTAGAGTCAAATGTTGAGACAGCCCCATGTGCTCAACAGCCCATGTGCAAAAAGAGACATTCCTTTCTGGGGCTCAATAAAGAGGAATTAGTGTTTGTTATCAACACATCTTTCAACCATTAAAAGGATCTATGAACTTGCTCCCTCTGCTGGATAATGACTGGACGACAAGTCAAAGCAACAGCTGACACCTCCAGCCACTCTGTGTGTAAGCAGCAAATGCGATTTGCTTGTTGCAGTTGGTGATTTTAGGAAGAGAAAACCTGCCACAGTCTGCCACAGAGCGCAGCCACCACTCTGAATCCCATCCAAATGTACTGTAAGTGGTCCCACCACTGCTGATCTCTGTTGCCCCAACAGTGACATCAGCCCTCTGTCCATTGGCTGCTGACAGTCAGGCCATCCTCCTCACGGCATGCAGCACCTCGGTGTTAGTCACACTGCCAGCCAGAGCTCAGACACCTCACTGTTTCAGCCCAGCTCTTGCGGACTTGTGCAACATAGAGGACTTAATGAAATGTTACTTCCGCTGGCCACTTTTCAGGGAATCTGACATCACAGTGTGGTCGACCTGAAATGATTCAGCTAAATGATGCAATGCATATGTTTTGGATATTCTGTACATTTTTGATTCCCATCATCTCCAATAAGACACATTTCAGTAAGCTCTGGTGATTACATTTGTTTACACATTTAGAGACAATTATGGAAGATTGCTAACACATTGCTCGTGGGAAATGACTTGTTGTGATAAATTAAAGGCCTAACTGCACGCTTCATATAAAGGAGTGCAGCAGTTTTTGTTTTATTTCAACACAGGGGAGGGAAACAAATGAAATGGGTGGTTTAGGCATCCACCCTCAGAAAATTTTTAAGCATCAAACACTTAATTTCCTTCCTTCTGGTGAAATTTTCTGCACCATTTTGTGCCTTTTGTGCATTAATTCATGGTGAAAACGTCTTAAATTTCAGGTTTTTCTTGAGGAAATAAATGCACATGATTTAAATACTGAGGGGGGACATGGCCCCTGCATGCCCCTCTTTAAAACTACGCCCATGAAGGAATCATTTATCTGGAATTAAAAATGCTAAAACAACTGGATAGATATTTCACTTGTCATTCCTCTTTAAATCTTAATCCAAAAACATCCCTTAGAAGTACCCCCCCCCCCTCCCCTCCCCTCCTCTCCCCCCCCAAATCACTTTTTCTCTAATCCTAATTTGCACACAAGAAGATGGCTAAAGGGCTGCCTGTGCCAAAGGAAAGGGTCCTAGGGGTCAGACGGGGTTATTGGGAAATAACCCTTCATGCAGTGTTGGGTAGGGACCGTCTGGATTAGTGATGCAAATGTGGCATATCTGATAGGCCTTTAATCTGTCCCAAAACACTTTATTTTCTGTATTTTGAATTTTCGGGTGCTATAATGAAAGTGATTATTGAAATATTGCAGGAAAACGTCAAAATTACATCCAATAAATCTCATTAAAGTGAATACCGTGCACTCTCATTCCAAACGGGGCATGAAGGTGATTATTTATTTCTTATTCTGACTTTCAACAAGTGAATCAGCAACTTTTTTGGGATCCTGCATTATATTTAATAGTATTTTAGACTGTGTGTGTGTCATTTTCTTATTTGCTGGTGTCCGAAATATGAATTAAAACATCGTCACATTCACATCTGCGACTATAACTGCGCAAATCTGGCAACATCAAGATGTTATTCCTGATGATTATTCTAAGAAATAGCACCTGCAGTGGAAAAAAAACTTTTTGTCACCAATTTTGTAATATAACGATGTGTGTGTGACCTCCATTTGAAATTAAATCTTCAGATAACACTTTTGATGCGTGCTCGTCTCCAGTGTGAGTAACAGCCCTCGTGTTTGGTGATAAACACTGATTTAATCACACCTTTGTCAAACCACCAATTACTTCCTGCAGAA